TTTTTGTGTTAACTTTGCAAACCATGTCAACCAATCATAATCCATTCTTCTATTAGGTTTCTATCATATTCACAATTTAATGTCAAGGGTAATTGAGTCATTTCATTTGCTATCTAACTCCCATACCATTAAAGAGGAGTTACAAAATCATAAAATTCTTAAAAATATGCATTTATAATATTGATATTTTTATTTATTTTTTAATCTTGATCTTCTATTTTTATTGTTTTATGAGTTTTTGATTCGTGGAGGAAACACAGTAGTAAAATCTTCGGTATCGTTCAAGCTATTATGGATAAACACATTGGAAAAAAATCGATAACATTGAAAATATTAAAATGGTTTATGGTGACAATCGGAGTTCGAGTTCGGGAAGTGAAGAAATTAACCAAAGCGAATGCCTTGGTAATGGATTAATCTTTTATTAGACTCGTTTTAATCGAAATTATGTTCATTACGATGTGTTGTATTTTTTGTAGTTCATATTGCATTGATAACTTTTTTTTAATTATTAATACGTACATAATTCACATGTTCAAATGAAAATACATGCACGACCCATTTTCATATTGTCATACTACCGACTTTTATGAATCATGAACCATTGTGTTAATGTTACTTCTATCATATGAACACAAATGTTATTTTTTAAGCTTGATACCAAATCTTTATATTTATGTAAGTGTTTGAACCCGGTGTTCATAGCGTCAGGGTTATGTGTTCATATATTTTGTACGCTATGAACATGGGGTGAACACGATATGAACAAGGGGTGAACAACCACATAAAACCAAAAATATATATCAACAAGGGGTGAATCTTAAACGGTATGGATGCAACGCATGTATAAAACTCCAATTGACAAATGATCGCTCCTGAATGTGTTTATAATGAATGAACTATTGTTCACAAGTTGTTCATACTGTGTTCATACCTGTTTTATTTATTTATTTCCTTTCGTATAACAGTTATTCTTATTATGTCCATATTATGTTCATAAATGTTATGCAATCCAAGTTTATATATATGTCAAATTTTTGTTCGTATTTGACACAATGATTCATATATATATAGTTGTGTTAACATGGTTCTTACATTAACAAAAATAAATTAACAAAAATCATAAATTTTTTTGATTTTGTAACTCCCAATTAATGATATGGGAGTTACATAATTTTTTTTACCTAAATACCCTTTTCAACTTTGTTCATTTATCTTTATGAAATTTTAAATTTAAAAAAAATAAGTTTTTATCATGATTAATCACAACCGTTTATTGACAGATTGAATGACCAAGATCGGTTAACATAGTTAACACAAAAACTTTGGTTAACATTTGATCTTGTC